CTGGCTGTGTATACCCCTGGCCTGTCATGTGTAACCCTGGCCTGTCATGTGTACCCCTGGCCTGTCATGTGCACCCCTGGCCTGTCATGTGCAACCCTGGCCTGTCATGTGTACCCCTGGACTGTCATGTTTACCCTGGCCTGTCATCTTTACCCCTGGCATGTCATGTGCACCCCTGGCATGTCATATCCACCTCTAGCCTGCCATGTGCACCCCTGTCTTGTCATTTGGTCCTCTGTCCTGTCTTGTGTGCACCTGGATTGTCATGTGCATCTCTGGCCTGTCAATGGCACCCCTGGCTTGTCAAGTACACCAATTAGCCACGCCGACACACATTGCTAGGGCATGATCCACCATGGCCACTTTAAGGAAGACAGTCCAGGGCCATGATGTGCAGCTGACGTTGAAGTCAGTGCAGAATATTGAAAGATCATCAGATCCAAGCAGTAGTAACGGCTCCTAAAGCTGTAATATCTATTTCCTTATAGTTTTTTGAGCACCTGCCACCAGCACTAAGCTCAGGCAGGAGATAAGACGGACTCCGTGGGGGGCCTTAAAGCCTGACCCTCAGTCTGACACGTTGACAGGGAGAAAATACAGGTAACTAGTGAAAAGACATGTATCCCTGAGGAGGTAAGCTTGCGCTGTTATCACAATTTCGTAATGGAGATTCAGATGCCCACTGGTGACAGGTTCTCTTTACGTGTTAGGAAAGCTTTAACGATAGGCAAAAAAAATTATTTTGCTTTTTAATCCTAAATTATCTGCACATTTCGGTTATTCGTGTATTGTTATCCGATCTCTGATAAAGGGAAAGGCATCTCACCAAATCGTAGCCACTCCCAGTCTATCAGGCAGTCAATACAGCGGCAGAGTTCATCCAGCACCCGCGGGGGGATGTCAACGATCAGAGGGGAGGATGTGCTGGAGCGGGGGCTCGCCATGGCGGGTCGTCCACGGATCTAGATATTGCTGAAGGACTCCTCAACTCTGGGACCTGAAAGACAATATTGTAATCAGTGATTTGGTTAGGTATACATTCCATTTGAATATTACACATGGGGGTCTGTTGATAAACAGTTTGCAGAGCCATGCACCCCGCGAATCTCTGTGAACGTTCATTCTGTGCTAATAGAAGCAAAAATTTACGCTCTTAGTATATTTTCTTTTCCGGGTTGAATGTAATGTGACGTAATACTGTAATATGGCCACTAGGTGGAGCCGAGGAGCATAGGTAAGAAGTATGGATTTCTTATGCTCCTCCACTCCATCTAGTGGCCATAATGTGGTATTACATTACATCAACCCTACAAGATACACTATGAACGTTTGTTTTTGCCTCTACTCTCAAAAAATGAAAGTACACAGAGATTCACGGGGTGAATTGTTTATAAATACACCCCCATGTGTGTTACTGGCAGGATCACCTAAAAAATGAAAAAGAGCCTAAAAAAACACAAAAACAAATGCAGCCACCACATCTAAGGAGTAGTAAGCTGCATTATGTCACCTGTTCTAGGGTGACCACGCCCACTCACCGCACTGTATCTATGGAGGAGCTGTGTTGTCCGACCACAAAACACATCCTGCATTAATTACTCCTCTTCGGTACATAGCTGGGAGGGGTTTTGTAGTCACAGAGAATAGCTGGGAAGTCCAGTCCATGGGAAGTGACAAAAACTATCCTTTCGTCCTGGACATCCCTGCATTATGTTTTGTCCCCCAGAGTGTCATGGAGCCCGTGGACCAATGTCAAAACTCCGGCACACTCCCTGCAATGTGCACGCCTCCCTAGCGGGCAGAAAGCCATGAGCGCTGCATTGAGGACACGGGCGGCGTGCCATGGATCTGTATATGAAAGCTGACATATCCATGTAGTGTGGTGACCCTTGTGGCTTCCCGTAGCTGGAGATTCTGGACTGACCAGGGGCATACCCTAAAGGGGTTTGAAGGTGCAGGAATTGGGGTGATCTGAGGGGTGAAGGTGCAGGAATTGGGGTGATCTGAGGGGTGAAGGTGCAGGAATTGGGGTGATCAGAGGTGTGGAGGTGCAGGAATTGGGGTGATCTGAGGGGTGAAGGTGCAGGAATTGGGGTGATCTGAGGAGTGAAGGTGCAAGAATGATGGTGAGGGGGTCTCACTGTTGGTGTAAGGTAACCAGGTCTGCTGCGCATGGGCGTGGTCCCAATTTTCTTACCATAGAAAAACGGGCATTTGTACGCGCACGGACGCGCTAATCTGGTGCGCAGGAAGTGATGCAGTACCTCTGAATTGACCTCCTTATTTAAAGCAAGCACAGCCTGGGCTTAGTTGCTGGATGGTACTTTCAGCTGTTCCCTGTGATCCTGTTTGCTCGGCCTGTTTACTGCTCCTGCATCTTGACCCGGATTGAACCTGACAGCTCCTGACTTCTAACCTTGGAAATGTTACTGGACTCTGCCTCATCCCTTGTACTTCGCTGCGCGACTGCTGTGACTCCTGGCTTGTCTGGCCTCGATTCTGACTCCTGCTCTGGTACCCTGCTGCCTGCCTGGTGTGACCTCGGCTCTGCTCTACCCGATCCAGATCCTGGACTTCTGCCTAGCTCATGGTTGCCCCATCCACTGGCACCCGTGCTACTTGCTGTTTCTCAGGCTCTGTTCCCATTCTCAGAGTTTGGGGGACACGAGGTGCAGGGGGAGCCTCCTCATCCAACCAGTCTCCAGCCAGGTACATGATAGTTGGACTATTCAAGACTTAGAAGAAGCCAAGGGCCAACTCTGCCCAACAGACTCCCATTCAGGGGCGTACCGAGGCTGACGTCATCGCGCACACGCGGCGATCTTCTGATACCTGTCGGCGGCCATCTTTGTGATGGGCACCGGCAGAGAGAGGAGGGGACAGCCACCCGGCGGGATAAGGTATGCCGCCGGGTCCCCTCCTCTCTCCTGATACTGTCGTGCGTTTGGTCCAAGACCGAGCGCCGACTTTTTAGGGGGGGTGCGGCCCACACCCCTTCAATGGTGACACCCCTTGTGACGCCACTGCTCCCACTATCACCAAAATATCTCTTTTGGGTTGCGATTCGTTTCATTTTCGGAAAATCGGACATTCGGATGTATGCGAATTCCGAATTACAGATATAACGGATGCAAACGAATCCGAATTTCCGTTTCTGAAATTCATTAGCGGTGGTTCGTTCGAACGTTCGTTTAGTTTTCATTTCGTTCGTTTCGTTTGTTGCAGCAAAGTGACATTAGAGAAGGAGAAACATTATTTTTTTCCTCAAATGTCATTTTGCTGCAACAAACGAAACGAACGTTCGAACGAACTGCCGCTAATGAATTTCGGCCAAATCCGAATTGACTTTCACACCTGAATCCCGAAAAACGAAATTACACAAAATCCGAATCAGAACGAAACTAAACAAATTTTTTGCCAGTGCACGTCTACTATCTC